ATAACAATGGTGGTAGGCCCTTCATCACCAACACCCACATGCCCTTCATTATTCAACCACCATTTTAGATGCCAAACACACAACACAACAACAAGATGAGCTCAAGAATCTAACATATTTAATATCTGTAACATGTCAACCATCTCTCTCTCATATATATATATATATATATATATATATATATAGGTTTTAGGGAAAAAAAGTAAAAGATAAAAAACTAAGGAATACCCTAATAACCATTCATCTGCACGATATGTACATGTTCATATAAACAATTGAAGATGTTTTATGGTATTTATGCATGAATATATGTTATGCACATGTGCATAGCATACAAATTACTTGTATGCATATACACATATATATTCCTTAATTTTTCATTTTTTTTGCAGTTTTCTAAAACTCACTATATGATAAACAATTGAGTAACTGTTAGGTTAATTATACGGTAAGTAAGACGATTTTTTGATTCAAGAATCCTGTTATACGTCATATCCGAAATCGGATATATGTGGAGTTTATGCAAGAAATGGAAAACTATCGGAAAATGGTAACTTTAGAATTCTCCCACTTGGGGTGCAAAGATCGTTGTTGCGTGCAAAAAAGAGAGAGAAAGAAATAATGGGCTAAAAGACTTCTACTTTTATAAGTATTTGATTTGTTCATACTAACTTTTGATATATATCAAACGAGAAAAGGGATTTCTTATTCTTATTGTCGTATAAGTCTTATGAGAGGGACTTTTTTTTCCCTTTCGGCGGCTTATGGTGTCCATACTTGCCACCTTATTTCAAGATCCATCAGCATCCGTCTTGTGGACACGATTTAAACATATATATATATATATATATATATATATATATATATATATATATATAAAGATTCTTAATTATCTCTAAGATCTTTTGAAACCTAACCAAGATTCGACTCAAACGAGTGGGATTCTATTCTATAAATGAATGATGCGTAACAAATCTATCGTTGTCTACATATGAAGCCTGTTTATAAATAACGAATCATAGAAGCTAGGATGATATTCGAATCTTGATCATCGTATAATTGGTAAAGATACGAAAGAACCGAGCCACAACCTTGAAAGATCAATGATTTTGGTAGTTTGTAGAGGCCACACATGATCGAGCTGTTGTTGGACTGCAATTGCAACGACGGTGAATCCTATTGGATCATTGTTTAAAAAACTTTCAAAAGAGGAGAAATTTCAGCGTATATGGTTAAGAAATGATTCAAGTTTAACGAATGTGAGACTTCAACAAAAAGGATTCACTTCTGCTTCACGTGTTGTTGTCAATGCCTTTGCTCGTGTATCAGTAGCTTGTATATAAGCTCTAAAAACGTCATTGACTACAACAAAATCGGATTTTATAGGACGTCAAAAATTAGATCGTTTTATAACACTTAAGTTTTATAGGGCCAAACAATTCTATGTTCTATATATAAGTGGTACAATAAGTTTATATAACGGTTTTGTACGCTTTAACAAGTTTTTTAAAACACTTTAGAAATAAAGTGTTCTATTAGTTTCTTATCGGACCATTTTTTATACCAATACATTTTATTATAGGTCGCTCGTTTTATAAGAGACTTTTTAGAATAAGTGATATTCTCCCGATGGATGTACAATACCTAGTGTTCTAAAAGACTCGTCATACACGCCGTGGCTCAAGAATCATGTTTGACTGCCCGTTAAGCTTGCATTATTTATGGTTGGATTATTGTGAACGAATCTTCGTGTCGTTATCGCTTTAACTCTTATTTCCGCATTGAAATGGTAGTGTTCACATTTAGATCACAATTTGTTTCTTAGAGCATCAACAATGGGAGAGTTTTTTTAAATGGAATGAACCCAAAGTTTAGGCCAAACAAAATGGTCTATTCAAAGCTAGTCACAAGAAAAATCAAATATTTTTGTTGTCGGAGTTTCTTTTCACAATAAAACTTTTTTCACGTATTAAAGTTTGTACATAAAAGGTTCGTGTGACAGGTTAGCTTACTGACAATTAAACTTGGGCATTTAAGGTTTTCTTTCCCTCAAAGATCGTCATTTTGAGTCACTATCGATTCAAGTCCTTTTTTTTTGTTATACTTGAAGGGCTCAGAAGATTAGTCAAGTTGTGCACATGCTGGTTGGGACATCGATAAAGATCTAAAATTGTTTAAAAAAAAGAGACATGCCGAAATTGAAAAAGGGTAATATTATAGGGTAGGAATGGCAACGAGCCGGTTATTGGTATCCTCGTCCCAAAAACCGATAACTAAAACCGTCCCCGTAACCGCCCCGATCGTCGTCAGGTTCCTGCGGTTTCCCCGATTCCTGTTGGGGAACCCGTTAAGGGTAAAAATCATCTTTTTCTCATTCACCGTTGGTTTTAATCGAACCCGAACCCGAAACCGATCTAAAAAAAATTACAATATGTTAATTTTCACAACTAAAAGTATATTACAATTTTTTTAAAATGTAAGTTTAAATGTCTCAAACCTAATCGAATCAATTACAAACAATGTATTAGATTACAATTTAAAACTAAACAGAAAATCAAACATCATACAACTAAAATCACGATTAGACAAATAAGTTAGACTTTTCCGTGAGCCTTATCTGGGTTGTTGAGATAAAGTGGATAAAAGTGTTTTAAATATTTATGTTACTATTTCTTTTAATGATATTATATATATATATATATATATAAATTAAAATTAATATATATATACACATATCGGGTTGGGTCGGGCTAGGCCGATGATCACCGTCCCCGTTAAAATCCCCGAATTTGTCCTAGATCCCCGCCCTGTCCCCGATAAGATGTCTCCGAACTCGGCCCGAAAGTTTTGGTTTTCGGTTTTCACTATCGGTTTCGGGTTTTTTTTGCCATCCCTACTATAGGGGTTGGCTAAATGTACTTATATTTACTAATTTTTTTCACACACCCACATCATAAGAACATCTCCAACAGATTCTTCAAAATGGAAAATCAAAAGTCAAAATTTCCAAAGAAAAATTACTTTTATTCCCAACAGCCTCTCGATTATGAAGAATACAACATTAATTATATTATTAAAATATTCAGTACAATTAATAAAATATTATCTCTCTCTTATAAATACTTAATTTTCAAAATTCTTCTCCGAGTAATCGTTTCTTGGGATTTCTTCAAATTTGGAGAATTTCACCTCTCTCTCCTACTTCCTCCATTTCGGAGAAGATTTTAGAGAATGCATTAGAGCAAAAATCTCTATGATATCTATTTTGGAGAATCTGTTACATTCTTAATACATGAATTAACCTGGTTTTAATCTGAAAGGGGGTGCATATAGCATCACCTATACTATATGCAATTTTTTATGTCAGAATCAGATCAATCATACATTGAAAACCGAAAAAAAAAGTTTTAATATTGACGTGTGTGAAAAAGGAATTAGTAGGCATGGATGCATTTAGTGACATATAGGAGTACAATTAACCATCCACTCAAAAAATAACTAGTTGGCGTTGGGTAGGGATGTTCGTGATGCGGTTTGGGACCAAATCGCAACCGCATATGCGGTTTGTACTTTATATCTACAATCCAATAATTATAAGTTTCAAAATACATTATAATATCAACGATAACGTGATCGTAGTCCAAAAAAAAAAATAATAAGTTTCAATATATCTGATTCCCAAATACATATTGCATAATTATAAAAAATAAACTTCAAACTAAATTGAACTGTGGTTATATAAAATTAAAAAATATATAAAATATGCGGTGCGGTTTGAACCGAAATTTGATAACTCAAAACCGCAAACCACATCACATAGTGTGGTTGGGTACCACAGATGTTCTAAACCGCTTTTTCCGGTGCTATACGGTGTGAGCGGTTTGGATGAACACCTTTAGCGTTGGATTTGCGGGTGCCAACCAAGATCTCCTCGATCGGTCATTCTTCTTCACTGGTGTCCACCGAATCGCTCCCATTGCTGGAACACTACATTTATTCCGATGGTATGTACTTGGCGAACCTCTTCCTCCTATTGTTTTCTAGATCATAAAACCCTCAGTTCTGTGATTTCGATGAGTAGAAAGTTGTAAACAAGAAGTCTCAAAAAGCACACAAAAACAAAAGAATCAAAAGGTTGAATTTGTTTTCTTCTTAAATGCAAGAACCACTTCAATGCAATGCAAGTGATGATGAAATGGTTAGAGATATTGGAGCATAAGAATTAAAGCAAGTCTAGTGGAAAATTGATTGAAATGGGTATCCTATGATGCCATCTTTAAAGAATTAAAAGGAAGGATAAAGTTGATAATGCCATTGAGTTGGACATCTATCCGACCTAACACTTGCTCTTTTTTTAACCGTTGATGTCCGGGTTAGATTATGTACAACTCGATTAACCGTCCTTTAAGGACAGTCAGTCAGAAAAATCCAAGTGAACTTCGGGACTCAAACCGAATATCCAAACTTTATTGTCAGTAGAGTTGGACCCAGAAGATATATGTTACCAATTGGTTTTGTATCGGTTACATCACCAAACATGGTCTCTTGGATTATCTTTTTTTAAAAGGAAAATTGGCTTAAATTATCATTTCACACATTTAAATTGGTTTCCTAAGTGTTTCTCTTCCGGATTGACCTAAATGTCACTATTTCTGTAATATCCATCATGGAACTATCTAAAAGACAAAAAAATAAAATTCAACCAGTTTTACTGTCGCAATTGCATATTCGTGTTGAATTTGAAATTTTTTTTGCCTTTTAGCTAGGTCCGTGATATTATGAACCTAGATGTTGCGGAATTAATGACATTTAGATATAAAAGAAATGATTTAGATGTTAAAAATGGTCATTTGAGTGAAACAACCTTTTTTTTAAAGCTTCAAACTTTATAAAAACCCAAAAAAAAAAGGATCATATTATCATCAAATCTTGATCATAATTTTGATAAATATAATCGAACCTAAAACAATAAATTTTCAACCGACCAAAGATGCAACGACACCAATCTAGTTCCAGGAGGACAAAAAAGACCAAGAAAGAAAGAAAACCCATTCTAAGCTACTATCTCGTCACCCATTGATATCTCGCTGGTGTATCGGAAAACACCAGGTATCTGTCATCTCCGATTCCTCCACTGAAATTAGGTTTTATACTTTACAGTTTGATACAGTAAACATGCCGATCTGTACAATTATGTAGATCATATCTCGTATATTTTGCTTTCTTCTTGATTCGTGTCTTGTCCATTTCCTTACAATTTTAAAATTTTGTTGGGTTTTTAGGGAATTGGTGCTCTTAAAGTTGTCATCTACTGTGATTGAAGCTTTTTGGTGTTGAAAGAAAAAAAGATGTGGGGGATTATGAAACACAAATTGGGTGCCAGAGGTTTATCAACTCCGGTGAAAGAATTCTCCAACTTTTGTTTTAGCATCAGAAAGTGTTTGCTTCTGATAACATATTCATAAGTGAAGAAAAGGGGTAGACGGGACGCCCCACCCCTGGTTCCACGGGCCGTGGGACCAAAATGCAAAGGTTAACATCTGTTAACTCCTTATATGTGCTTTCAGGTATTTGGGGATTACATGCAGAGGTTAAGGCCTATAGCATCCGCCATCAGATTCAGACCTTATTCATCTGCAACTAAACAGGTAATACTAAACCAAAGGAACCCAGTAAATCTCACAGAAAATAGGGTATGGGGGTGATAAAAATGTATTCAGACGTTTCCTCCGCCCCAAGAGATAGAGAGACTGTTTGGCCTCTGCTGAGTGATGAATTCAGGTTTTTAAGAAACTGGTATTTAGATTTAGTTTCATGTTGTTGCAGATGACAGTAAGAGATGCTCTGAACTCTGCTCTTGATGAGGAAATGGCTGCTGATTCTGATGTCTTTATCATGGGCGAAGAGGTAACTAGTATCGTGTTTGTCATCGTATTGTGAGGGGTTGTGGCATCCTCTCGTTTCTTCAATCCTCATCGTCGTTCTTTTGTGCAGGTTGGAGAATACCAGGGTGCATACAAGGTTAGAATCTAACACTACGATAAAATCAACTATAAAGGATGCTAACAAACGGTTATATAGGATTTAAGTTCATAGCACCAAACTATTGTTAGAATCTAGCACTACATCTTTCTATATGACACTTATTTTTATAAGTCACTTTCAATTAATGTCTTATAAAAAGATTAATAGTACCTTTTATTTCAAAATCGCCTTGAGAAACTTGTTAAGACTCCCAAAAGCATTCTATCAACTTATTGTAATATAAGACGCAGTCTTATTAAACTTAAGTCTATTAGGACACTTATGCGTGACATGGCATTCTATAAAACTGATTTTGTTGTAGTATAGTGAACGTTCCATTTGCTTCTATCAAGTTCAACAAACTAATAAGATATCTTCGTTTGTTCTGGTTTCGTAACGTTGGATTTGTTTTCTCTTAGATTTCCAAAGGATTGTTAGACAAGTATGGACCTGATAGAGTCGTTGACACCCCTATCACGGAGGTTAGTTCTTCATACCAGTTTTGATGAATCTATTAGCTTTGGTATTTTAGGAAACAACTTAATAACACATATTTGCTTGTTTTCTTCGAATAAAAATCACATATCCTCAAATCCCATGTCCCATCCTTGTCCACCAATCAAAATAAGACACGTCACTGATTTATTCGATTTCAGGCTGGCTTTACGGGCATTGGTGTTGGTGCTGCATATCATGGTCTGAAGCCTGTCATCGAGTTCATGACCTTCAACTTCGCTATGCAGGTTAAAACCCATATTTGTATGCTATAAGAACTATTGTTTACACGCTACGTTGAAATTTGATGCACGATTTCATATCATCAGTTCTCATCGGTTTCTAAACTTTTGCTGGTTATCTTTTGCAGGCGATCGATCATATTATCAATTCTGCAGCAAAGACAAACTACATGTCTGCTGGCAAGATTAATGTGCCCATTGTTTTTAGGGGTCCAAATGGTCCTGCTGCTGGTGTTGGTGCCCAGCATTCCCAAGTATGCTTCTTATACTTCTTGATTGATTCCGGATTCTAGTTCTCGAAGAATGTTAGGAAAATGATTCAGTTTAAGTGAGTTTCATACGTTACTTTGTCATTTGAAGACATTTTTATATGATGTGAGATTTTATATTTTGTTTTAAAGTATTACTTGTCCAGTCAATCTATACTTTTGATATAGACGTACAGGGCCTTCTAAAAGATCGAAACGCTGACCATTGTAATGTAAAACGCAGTGTTATGGTGCATGGTATGGTTCTGTTCCTGGTTTGAAAGTGCTCGTACCTTACTCCTCTGAAGATGCTCGTGGACTTTTAAAAGCTGCAATTCGAGACCCCGATCCTGTAGTTTTCCTTGAGAACGAGTTGTTGTGAGTAAAATCCCACTTGCATTTCTTGTTTGATCGTTCCATTTTTTGTAATTGTTGATGTTTTTGGGATACATGTGATTTAGGTATGGTGAGTCCTTCCCGGTTTCTGCTGAAGCCCTAGATTCGAGCTTCTCCCTTCCAATAGGAAAAGCTAAGGTGAATCCTTTAACGAACCTATTTAAGTTTGCGATGATTTCCTTCGTGTTACCACTTTTGTTCATCGAGCTCGGAATCTTGTTTTGTTTATTGTTGACAGATTGAAAGAGAAGGGAAAGATGTTACAATCACGGCTTTCTCTAAGATGGTGGGCTACGCTCTAAAGGTATGCTTCCAGTCAGCCTCCGATCATAATATATGCAAAGTCCCAGGTTCTTGGAATTATGAACACCTTTAGGTTCATTATATGACCAAGGCTACGTTTAGCAACCATAAGCTGACTTATTTTTTAAGCTTATTGAAAAAGACCCTTTTAATTAGCCATGAGCTAACTTTTTTATACATCACTTCAAGTAGTGTTTCAATAAATTCCAGGGGCCTTTTCCACTTTTTCGAATTGCGCCTCTTATATTTTCCAATTAATTTTCAACATGGCATTTTCAGCCATTTTACATTGTCATCTAGCATATCAACTAGTCTAGTTTACCAAACAAGACTAGTTTATCAGCTACCTTATCGGCCAACAACTAGCATTTCAGCTGACAGCTTGCTTATCAGCTAGTTTGCCGAACATAACCCAAGTTTCCTGCACTAAAGCCATGTACTGTGATGTTCTAATCCCAGTTTGATAAACCAAAGTAGCAATCTTTGAATTTGTTTTGCGTTACTAATCCACCGTTTTCTGTGAATCTGATGTAGCTTTGTTGTGTGATTGTAATTAATTAGGCTGCCGAAATACTTGAAAAGGACGGAATAAATGCCGAGGTAAGTTCAACATGACCAAAAGCGGCAAAACTTAAGTTCTTGTCTGTTCTATCTAGCTAAATGAAAGCTCTCAGTTTTGAAAACAGTAATATTGAACCGTTATTTTGTAGGTAATAAACCTGCGATCCATTCGGCCACTTGATCGAGCCACAATCAATGCTTCAGTCAGGAAAACCAATAGGCTGGTTACTGTTGAGGAAGGGTTTTCTCAACATGGTGTTGGTGCTGAAGTCTGGTATTAACTAGTTTCTCATTGGGCCAATCTGAGCCTTATTCAGCAATTCTTCKGTTACCATGTGAATATGTAGAACCCAATCAGATTACACTCACTACAACAAAATTGAGTTTATAGGATGCCAAAAATGTCTTAAACATCCTAATAGATTGCTTTACAAGACTTAATTTATAGGACTAAACGATAAAGCGTCATATCTAAAGGTGTTGTAGGAAGTTTATAGGATGTTTTTGGACGTCGTAACATATTTTTTTAGGACGATTTTATAAATGAAAAAGCGTCGAATTAGCTGCTTTATAAAACAATATTTGAAAAATGTCTTATATGAACAACTTTCCTATAAAAAGATGTGTTCATATGACACTTCTCAAAAATGTCCTACAAAATAACTAATATGATGTTTTGTAAAATAAGTGTCTAAAAAACTTGTTAAAATGCTCAAAAGCATCCTATAAACTTATTATAACATCTTTAGATAAGACGTTTTGTTGTTTAGTCCTGTAAACTTAAGTCTTATAAAGTGGTCTGTCTATCTATCACACAGAATTTGTTGGCGTCCTGTAAGGCTGTTTTTGTTGTAGTGTCTCCAAAGAGCCCTTGAGTTGAGCAGAATTATTCCAACATATATCGAGGAAAAATGGTCCATTTCTAGCTGGTGTTGAACTCTAAAAGTTATTACGAATTGCAGATGGATGACATACTTCTAGATAGTTAACAAGCGGTATGTAATGGTTTTCTTTGTGTAGTGCAACGGTTGTTGAGGATAGCTTCGGTTATCTTGATGCCCCGGTGGAGAGGATTGCCGGGGCTGATGTTCCAACGCCATACGCCGCTAATCTCGAAAGATTGGCTTTTCCGCAGGTCATGTTTCTTACTACAACTACTTTATTTTTCAAGTATATAATACTTGTATACGGCAAATACTCACACAAACTCCTCACATTTGGTGAGGTTTGAACTCTTGACCTCTTCTACCGGTAATCCGGGTACTGTTGGGCCAGTGATGAACGGACAAAACTGGACAAAACTGCCCTCAGTTTCTTTTTTCCTTGCTCACAAGGTTCGATGAGTTGCTCCATTTTCGGTTGTTTTGATTGTTGAACATGTCATGTCTTTACATGATTTCTGCAGATTGAGGATGTTGTTCGTGCAGCCAAGAGAGCCTGTTTCAGATCCGTACCCATGGCTGCAAATGCTTAATTGAGGGTTTACAACTTTTCGGATGCACATATATATATATATATATATATATATATATGTATATATATATATGATGATTTATGAATAATTGAGGTTTGTACATGGCTAATGTTGCCTCCACTACTGGTAAAATCTCATGTCCCCAAGTCCCATGTCGTCCTCTGTCCACCAATAAGGTTAGAATACATCATCAGTTGTTTATGTTCTCAAGCTGTGATCTTGTGTGAATAGGGGTGTATAAGTCGTGCGGTTGAGTAGTAGGTTATTTGAGCACGACTTGAAAATAGCAGGCTCGAGCTTGAATTTTTCAAAGTAGGACTCGAGCTCGAGCTTGAACAATTTTTGTATCATAAACTCGAGCTCGATGTGACTAATGGCTCGAACTCATGACCGATTAACTTGTTTATTGGCTCAAGCTTGATCTAGGGGTGGGGTAATTTTGTCCAAATAGCAGTCTTGGTATAATGGAAGGAATTAAATTCCATCACCACCCACCACGACTATGCTACTATTGCTCGTCATGTCCTACCCCTAACCCACCACCCCACCACTACTGTCGCCGCCACCCACCCTACCCCAACACTAACCACCATGTCGCTATTGCTGTCATCACACCTACCCATCCCTGATCACTCACGGCATATCCCTACTACAATCATGCTACTAGCTTTACTGTCACTCCCCTAATCTAACCCCCACCATCACACCATTATTGTCGCCGTCACAATTGCCACTAAATTCCATTCTGTGAACCAAATGCCCTTGAAATTGTCAGGGGAGAGTATTGGGTAGCTATTATAAACAATTCATGGCATGAATTAGCGGTGAAGGAAGGAAGACATGAAATGCTACATCATGATTGGTCAATGAAGCCACGAACGTGAGGCTAGAGTAGAGATGGCCAAAAATCAGTCTGGACGATTCCCAAATTGGTCCCTTCCAAATTGGGAGGGGCCTTGAAATTTCATAAATAGTGTAATTGGTTTCAAACTATAGGGTCATAATTGGTCCCTATCGATCCCAATTTGGCCATCCCTAGGCTTAGTTATCACATCACTTTCGATTGTTGGTTATAGCTCCACTGTGACCGTCTTAGAGAAAGTTTTGACATTAAGAAAATGGGTTTAGAGATGCAGGAGACGCCAACCGACTATTTGACTCCTATATCACGGAGGATTAAAATTGTTAATGGAATGGCTTTACGTCTTTATTTTGTTTTCTTTAATACCATGATAACACACAGTTGATCATAGATTTTGTTTCCATTACGTTGGGATAATTAAGTGGTAGCACGGGACCATATTCTTCTACACAGAGGATTAGGAGTGTTTGTGATCCGGTTTATATGGTTTAACCCTCGAAACCACAAACTAAATTAATAGCAGTTTGGGAAGTTTTTCAAACCAAGCGGTTCGAAAGCAAGTCATCAAACTTTGGTCAAAGCGGACCACAATTAGACCAATTATGGTTTCTAAACTAAAAATATTTATAACATCCATCTCCAAAATATTTTTTAGCAATGTAAAATAATTTAAAACTACTATGTCCAATTATAAAATAAATATCTGTTTTCAAAATTAAATAACATTGAACAAGTTGGAAAAAAAAAAGTTAAACAAATCCACCAGCAATAGTTGGAATCTTGGACAAACATTGAACAAATTGAAAAAACCGTTTGGAATTTTGGTTTTTGACAGATTTTGTAATTTTATAATTAGACCATAAAAGTTGACTTTACAACATTGAAAATTAAATATTATTAATATTTGTGTAATTTTTTTTAAGTATATTTATACTATATTATAAAACATTTGACAAAAATTCTTAAAACTCGTTTTTAATGCATGAAGTACTGTTTATTGATGCATATTACTTAAAATTCAAAATTACAAGTAATTTTGCGTATGTACCATTTATTAAAGCTTCATTTTTAAATTCGTGTAACTAACTGCAGATAAACATAATCAAATACAGGATAAACATATATTTTAAATATATAAAATCTAAAATATAATTAAGATAATCATTGAGTTTCTAACCAAATGTTTAATTATTATCTTTAATAAAAATTATATTATTAAACCAAAAATAAATTACTTTGTTATTAGATCTAAATTAAATTATAATAAAAAATTGAATTAAAGAAGTTATACCAAAAAAATGAAAACTATTAAATAGTTAATTTAAAACTAATATCGAATTTTTTTAAAATTTTTTTTATGCTATCTTCAAATTTATATTTTATTTAAAAATAAAAACATTATCGTTTTATCAAAACCACACAAAATTGTATTATATCGATACAGACAAACAATAAAAACTAAAAAGTAAAATGGAGATTTATCTCACTGCATTGCGCGAGTATCCTTCTAGTAATATTTATATACGACAAACATAATAAATGAACTCACCCACCCTTCTTACCTTTGGGGAGGTTTGAACCCCTTATCTCCTAGGAGGCCTAAGGCTCCCATATCGTTAGACCAAAGTCCCTTTTGGTATACATACATATGTCTTTTGACAGTTAGTTATGTCTAAGGGCTTGTTTGTTTTTCAAAATTACTTCTTAATACCTTTGAAGTCTGATTCGTTGAGGCGTTTGGGGTATTAAGAGCATTTGTTTTATTTTTAAAATAAAAGCTTAAAAGCTCTAAATGTCCTCTGAAATTTTAAGTGGTAAATATATCTCTTAATACCTCTTAATCTTAATTCGTCTTCTATCATATGGTTCATATTTTGAGGGTTGAAAGATATTTGTTAGCAAAACCTATTTATCTTTTATACTTTTGTAAAAAAAAAACTATTTATTTTTTATATTTTTGCACTAGTTTAACCGATTCAGATTTCAGACTTTAGAAATAAAAACAAACAATCTTATTGATCCAAATTTCAAACTTCAAGACCATCTCTTATAAATCAGAAGTAAAATCAGACTTCAACACATCTTAAAAAACAAATGCCACCTAACTCACTCAAATAACGTTTAAACCGTAAACAAAACCTACCAGTTTGACTATTTTTCCAAATCATAATGGCCTATTAAAACGTTCAAATCACCAAAAACAATATGATTTAATTTGATTTTATTGATTTCAACGGTGAAACAGTTTCTTTTATCTACATATATTTAGGCATGGCAACGGGGCGGGGATGGGGCGGGTTTTATAATCCCCGACCCTAGCCCCGGTTTGTAGTAACGTCCCCCAGTCCCCGGCGGGTACGGGGATTTTCATCCCGCCCCACCGGACAAATCTCTAGCACTCCCCGGTCAAAACCGGGTAAAACCCCGCTCAAACCCCATAAATAGTATCCTTTATTTTGATTCTACCGAGGGACCCCGGCTCCGGTTTGAGTAACATCCCTTGTCCCTGGCCCCGGTTTGAGTCTACCGGAGATCCCGAAACCCGTTTTAGTACGAAATCCCCGTCCTTATTCGAGTCGGGTGAACGGGATTTCCCACAGGGTCGAGATAAATCACCATCCCTACATATGTTCTCCATGCACCTTCCCTAGGCCCCTCATTTAGGAGTGGGCATTTGGTCTAACGTCACTTCTTTGAACCAATGCTTATATTAATAATAACATGTAGAATTTTCTTTTGACAAATGTGTTTTGTAAAGTATGTAAATAACGAAATTGATGCACCACAAAGAGCGTGATTGAAAAACGCGGGGTGCCCATGCCCCATGCCCCTACACGTTTTCTTGATTTTTCTTACACGTCCAAGCATCCTAAACATATTTATCTACTTATTAAAAAAAAAATATGCTATAAAAATATTTAATGGATTAAATTTAATTATATTCAAGTGAAATATTATTTGGTCTCTTGTTATGTAAATTATGACACGATAACCCAGCCGCAAAGAAACTTTGACTCTTGACCAATGACCACACCCATCGCCATCGTCATGGCATGGCCCATACAGAAATTCAATTATCATCTTTATCTACCCTAAATTACATTCTTGGTCCCTCTCGTTTACTTAGAATCAGATACGGTGCTTGTAGTTTGCATTTCGTTACGAGTGGAATAATATGCCCCAAGTGTTAACTCTTAATCTGTTAAATCAGGGATAATTTCGTCTTTTTACCAATTTTCTTAAATTTTTATTAAAAACAAATACTAAAGTTGTTGTTATCCATGAATCTGCTCTTTGTTCTTTATCCAGTCTTGTTGTATTATCATCAATGTCCACCAAAATTCACCAACAACTTAAATCGAAATCCCTTATTCCATGTTAAGAAATGATAACAAATTTCAATCGGAACCCAATCTAAATCAAACTTCCTTAAACATGATTTTAAGAACAACAAACCCTAATCTCAAGACTAAAATCAAAACCCTACATCTCTAAAGTCAGATAAATTTTGGAACTAGATAAAGAAAGACGAAGAGTTCTTTGAAGTTTGAGAAGAGAGATAGAATAAATGGGATGTGATATGTCCGTTCAAATTATATTAGAAGAACCAAGACACTACGTATACTTATTTCGAAATAACAACAGCTTTGATTTTACCCTCTTAGAACAAAGGACCCTGATACCAAATGACATCTGACCTAGCGGTATGTGAGTTTTTAGTCTCCTACGAATTAAATGGTTCAAACTTCACTAAATGTAAGGAGGGTATGTGAGTTTATCTATTTAATTTGTCATATGTAAATATTGTATACTTAAAAAATGACCCTGATTTTAATGAAATGCACACATTAAGAACGCTAAATATACTTATTTTGAAAAATGGGTCGTATCCAAATTTTAAGTAAATCATAGGGATAAAAAATGTAATTTACACTAATTATTATCTTTTATAAAAAGAAGTTACTAGAATCTATACAATTTAATTTTGAAAAATTAAT